CCTGGTGGCCTGTATACAGTAGCCAGTACAAATGTCACAGGGGATTTATCGTTAGCACTTGTTTCTCTGGATAATGTTACAGTATATGAAGCACCATTACTTCAAATGAATTATACTTGAAACCAGACTTCTGAGAAATACTGAAAATATTACTATAAATTGTAGCAACACCTCCCCCTTTACCTTTTGGACGCGGCTCGTGTTTATAACAGTAATCTTGGGGGGGTAGACTCATTTAAAATAATGTAATAACACACGACTCCAGTCCATCAGTTAACAACATGGGAAGTGAAAAGCTGCGTGTTTATGAGAAACATTCTGACAGCACCCATTCACTGCAGAGGATGATAAGCAAGTGATGTAATGCTAAATTTTTCCAAATATGTTCTGATGAAGAAACAAACTCATCCACATCTTGAATGGCTTGAGGGTGAGTACATTTTCAGCATGTTTTTTGGGGTGAACTATTCCTGATTCCTGATTATTCTGATTATATCCTTTAATCAGAATATGCTGCTATGTGGACTAAACTTTTATTTTAATCACTTTTATTTTTGTCAAAAATGTGTGATGATGACATAACATGTTCAAAACATGAAGTAATCAAAATATGCTATGGTCTCAGATCCCAAATATAATTCAATATTTATTGTTTAAAATGAAATACTAGTTTGCTTGTATTGCTTTTGTGCTCACATGAGATCCAGAGACCGTTTCCTCTTGTGTCTATTTCTTTTGTTTACTCTCCCTCTGGTGGTGAAAATAGTCAATTACAATTTTCATCTGAGATTTAAAAGTCCAATATTCCAATATTATTATTCAAATTGTCACTGCACCACTGAGACCCAGATGTATTAGGAACGTTTTTACTCACAGATACTTGTCGGTATTATGTCAACAGTACTAAATAAATGACAGTTTTATTTTACAATTCATGCTGACAGTAACAGGTACATGTTACTGTGGGCTTCAGCGTCACAATGAGCAGTTGGGTGAGAGGTGTGACTGCTCTATGATGTCACACTAGATAGCGGTGAAAAAGCAGAGCTCAGTTAGGACTGAGGTCAAACCGGAATCCTGCCTGCAGACCAGAGACAGTTTGAAATGGACACAGACAAACCTCAGCAACAGTTCTCTGAAAATTACTCTGAGGTCACGGTTAGCTCAAGTGCAGGTAAGAATACTGCATTTGAAATACTGATACAAAATATTTACAGTTCAGTCGTTTAGCAGATGCTTTTATCCAAAGCAGCTTACAAATGAGGAGCATCACAAGAATTATATCATACTGCAATGGCAATTTTCAAAAATGGTAATGCTGAAAATTAAATATAAGCTGTTTTGAACATCTTATATTAGAAAAGGTGAAATAGAGGGATTAATCTATCTATCTATCTATCTATATCTATATATATATATATATATATATATATATATATATATATTACTTGAAATAAAATAAACATTAACTGAAATAAAATAAAATTTATACAAATGAAAATGAGAAATGTTGCTTTGGCAAGAAGCTGAAATGAAATGAGTTTAAGTTATTAGTTTAAGTAATAAAAAACCTAATTAAAACTAAATAAAATAAAATAAAAACTAAAACTTAATACATAAAAAAACTATATTGACAAAATACATCTAAAACACACAAAAAAATACTAAAACTTTAAACTATAATATATAAACCTATATATATATATATATATAGTCTACGTTATATTATAACAGTATTTAAGTGATACAAAAATAACACTGCGCAGTATGACATTCAAAAATCCAAACTGAGGTACGTTTCATGCTCTCTTTACCCTAATGTTGTGAATAGGACCTGGAAACCAAGAGTCCCACAATTTGACAAATTAGTGACTTTTTTGGCCATTGTTTGCCTAAGCTGAGAGTAATCCTCAGGGCCCTGGCATGCCTCTCTCTCACGATATTGAGTTTAGGTGGCAAAGCCTGCTGTCTTTTGAGTTCCTGGACGTTTGTTTGGAAGCACTAAGGCTTTTAAATCCTCCGTCTTCAGGGAACATCATTTGAGAGATGTGTACCTACAAATCCAACATCTCAGAGGTGTCAGTGGTTGATGAAACTCTCACTGTCAATAGGAAATGACTTGTAACTAGAGAGAGAGACCTGAGTCAAGACTCTTTCAGTTTGTGACAAAGAGGTCTTCTCATAATGAATTCACCTCTTTGAGTTTCACCTTATTGGATGCAGATGTTCAAAATCATTCAAGAAAAGATTCTGGGACATCTGAGAGCGTCCGGGGCGGCCGAGGACGAGTGAGACCGTACCCTTCACCATCCCGCAGGAGACACCGCACTAACTTCAGCAATGAACAGCTGGAAAAGCTGGAGTTAGCTTTCAGACAGAACCACTATCCTGATATCTACTACAGAGAGGAGCTCGCGAGAGCCACCAAACTCAACGAGGCTCGCATACAGGTAACTCACCTGTTTGCTAACATGCTAATTAACCTGTTGAACTGATACAGTTACATGCAGCTGCATTAAATGTTCCCATGCAGGTTTAAGTTACACTAACCAGGGGTGTTCGGATTGTTCACACTGATAGCGATTTACAGTGACACAGCAAAATATGTGAATGGAAACCCAGCAGTGACTAGAACTGAGCGATAGCATTGCTTCATAATGCTTGCTACATTTGTTCAAATTTGTGTGGATAGATTCAAGAAAATCTTCTTAAGAAATAAGTTAAGACATTTCTTGAGATAAATTCTTTAGAAAATTGTAAGATGTTGCTAAGTGGAATTTCTGAACAATTCTAAAATGTTTAAATATTTTATTTAAAAAAATAGTATTTTTCTTTAAATATTATTATTATTATAGTTATTTTCTTGGCTTTGGTATTACGCAATTAACAATACAATTAAAAAGGAGATCCCTAGTTGAGTTGATTTACACTTAAAAAAATGATGAAAATTTTTTTTCAGAAATTACTAGTAAATTTTTACAAATAATGACAAAGAATCGGTAAGTAACACATTGAATTAAACATTAAATTTTGAAGTAGAAAGACTGAAATAATATTTTCTAGTAAAACATATTCCAAAAACCTGTTTTATTAAAACTTTCAAGCAATAATTTTTTTACAGAGTAGTAATATATATATATATATATATAGGCCTATGTTGCAATGCTTAATAAGTGAAACAACCTAATAAATTCATGAAACATCTTTCTTTTTTTATTGATTTAAGACAAGTTGGAGGTTATCCTAACTTTTAAGAGGTTATGATTTTTTTTTTGTTTTTCATTTACAATTTTTTTTAGCAATTCAAATTATTATTTTTTTATTACGTTTTGTCTTTAACACAGTCTTAAGAAGAAAAAAAAGAACATTCTTTAGAAATGTTCGAGAATAAAAAATACTGAATACTCTTAAGTCTTAAGAAAATATGAAGAAAATAGCAGTTATGAAGAATTTTATTGGTAAACATTTTTTGTGAATCTGAAAACTTTCAATATTCTCACATTCAGTATGTTCTAATTGGCTGTACCACACAAATTACTTTGCTTATTACTTACCGAGGTGGTAATAAAAAAAGTACCAGGTACCAGGTCCTCTACCCAGTGAAAACCCCCCAAAAAGTGAACCGTACCGAGCCGTACCATGCAGTGGAAAAGCGCCATTGGAAACTTGGAAACTTTCCATATTAAGCAGCCAAACCTTGACTCCCTTGTCCGATTACTGTATCTTACGGCCTTTCGCTCGCTACAGGTATGGTTTCAGAACCGGCGTGCCAAGCAGCGGAAGCAGGATCGTATCTCTCACAAAGTGCTGCCGGTGGGCATGATGCCAGGACGAGGGCCTCTCTTCAGCAGCATGTGTGTGTCTTCCTCCGCCATGGGCCGGCAGTACCAGTGTCCTCATTCACTGCCACACATCCCCCGATTCTCCTCAGTGCTGCCCCCTGGAGGATACCCACCCCACCCATCCTCCGGCAGTCATTTCTCCCGCTCCTCTGGCCCTGCTCCATCTCAAGCCACCAGACAGCCTGATGACTGGTACAATCAACTGTGCACCATCGGACCAGCCACCACATCAGTGCTCTCAGTGGCCTCTGTGTCGGCACTGGAAACCACTAGCCACTGGAACTAGAGGAAGTGCTGTAAACGCTTGTATTTTCCATTTTATACAAGCAGGTACAGTCGAAAGGATAACGTTTTTCAATAACAAAGAAAGATTGACATTTTCTGCCTTTATTAGTTGCAGTCACACAGAACATATTCTCTCAATTATTGCTATATTTACTTAGACAAAAAAAATTACATTTATGCTGATTTCCTTTGTCAACACTGCACTGTGACAATTAAACTAGGTTCAGTTCACACTGAACATAGGCTACTGTAGACTTTAAATAAGCACTATTATGAACTATTATGTAATTCTCAGATCTCAGAATGAAATGTACAGTACACCCAATGAACATTTGAATTACATTTCCTTTCAGTCATCAATAACAACTTACAGATTTGGTAGAAATAAATTAAACGGTTTACATCAAATGTTGTTCTTCTTCCCATTTTATGTATGTAAAATGAACAGACATGGGTCAGTGACAATCTTTTAAACATTTTGTTGAAAACAATATGTGCCAAGTTTCTAGAAATGTGCTGCTCTCTGTATTCTTGTTGGTTACATATAATTTTGAGAATTTTTTCCCCCCAAAGAATAACAAAGATTATGCCAAACCACTTTCTTCTGAAAAATTTTATTATTTTAATGAAGTTTTTTTCTTCTTTATGATATCAAGATGGCTGTATCACCCTTTTTTTTTGTTGCTTTATACCCTAAAAAATTAAATAAAATGAAAACTAAAATAAAAACATCATGATGAAAGTTTGGAATTATTAGGATTTTTCAATGTTTTTTAAAGAAGTCTCATTTATTGAGAAATATTATTGGTTTAAAATAACTTTTCTATTTTAATATATTTTAAAATTATGCCCTAAAAATGTCTTTTATTTAAAAAATAAAAACATCATGAAAGAGAAATGTATTAAGGTCACTATATGGATAAATTACATTTAAAATTTCCTAATAAATTCAGACAAAATGAGCGTCATGTCATTGACCTATATGACATTTTGTGTACATTCAGGCTCTAATAGCAAGCTAAAAATCAACGCACCATGATGTTTCGGAGGATCCGATTCCTGTTTTAGAAATGCATAACACCATCAAATATATTTCTAATATTCTGGCACTTGTTTATAACATCATCCAAATCAACATTAGGGCTACAGAGAGATTCATTAAGATGTACATCTCCAAACACGCGTATTGCACATTTATATGTAAATCAAGATAAATCAATAAAGTGTGTGCTCACCAATAAAGTACTCTGTCATTTCAAAACATTCTGAATGAGTATTTTTATAATGACAGTAACAGTGATAATCCCTTTAAGGCAGAAGGAGCATATGTTTGCCATCATTCATGAGCAGAGCAGCAATTATTATATTCCACTTTAGCTTCATTTAACAATCAGCTTTGCAGGAGAGTGTCACTGCAAAGGATTTATTCAATAATAACATAATTTATGCTTGTTTACAGTGGATAAATTTGGCAGTTTATACATTAAGGTCCATTGTGACAAGACATATGCAGATGTGAGTGCAACAATGAATACATGTTACACTGATGGCATACGTACAAAACATCTCACGTCACTTCATGACCCTCACCACTTCATTGTCTGACATCTATACAGGTTATATTGAAGCATGAATATACTGCGCCTGTGAAATCGCACGCACGTGAAGGAATGTGCTGGAGATTTGTACATCAGAGGTAATCTGCATTCACAGTAAGGCAGCGGCTCTTCCTCTCGTCTTTCACTCCAGAGACCTGGCAAACTCTGCGTAGTCGATGTAGCCATCATTGTTTTTGTCATCGTCTCGGAGGACGTCATCAATGAGGTTGATGAGATCCTCTTCTTTCATTGGCTGGCTATCATCTCCTCCTTCCTGGAAACCAGGTGACAATCTTAATTTTAATTAAATGGAATTAAAAAAAACAAAAAAACAAACACATGATAGAAGGAGAGGCTTGGACAAGTGTACTTCGGGTTAGATTATAAAATCCTGCTAAAATTCAAATTAAATATCTCATATAAAATAAAAAAAATTATTTATCATCAAATTATTATTAATGAATTATTAAAACAATAAAATGATTAATAAAGAATGTGTAGGTATGTCCAAACTGGTATAAAGTCAAGCTCAAAATTCGAGCACTCGCCTCTCTATGAACATGAGTAATGGCAGTGGCGAGTTCGAGTCCATCCAGCAGATTGTTGCCATCGTAGTCGTGCATCTTGAAATAGTGAAGCTGCAGCTCTTGAGGCGTCATGTCCGACTCTGGCTGTTCAATCACACCTTCTAAATGCTCCATGATGTGGCTACAACAGAACAGAAGAAAGGTTCAATTACAGACAGGTGGATTAGTCACTTTGAGATGATCGGCATCAGTCAATAACTGTGAACTGTGACTGTGACCCAAGTAGTGACAGATCTTTTCTTTTGTATTGTGACAAACATCCAAATGTATCAGATTAATGAAAGAAATTATGTAGGGCAGGGACTTGGTTCTGTCCAACGGTGTTATGGTTGGATGTGGAGATGTGGGTCAGATGAACCTGCAGAGGCGGGTTTATTAAGACTAAATGACTGGAGAAATGTTTCTGTTGTTTTCAGTGGAAGGTCCATGTAGGGAGGCCAACCAGTTGGAGTGGAAAAAGGAAATGACGTGCTGTACAAAAAGTTGATGCAGAATCCAAAAAATGGTGTTTTATTGGAAGGTGCTAAAATATTTACAGTGCAGGAGAAAACAAAAATAAACAAAAACTGTACAAAAGAAAAGAAAGCAGCAACAACGTGCTAATTTTGGCTAAACCAGATGGCCCAAGTTTGCAACCCTGCTCAGTATTAGAGTTCACAATCAGAACTGAAATCCTTTCAGCCATCACGCCTATTTATAGGCTGAAGCCCCACCTATAGAGCCTACCAACTATGTACAAACGTTTTAGGTTGTAATGATCAAATTAAAAAATATAAACACCCAACACAACACTAAAACCTTCCAAATAGGTAAAACAACAACCATTAACAGAGAAAGAGTTTAACAACTAATTAAATAGCAAAAACAAATTTTTCCAAATCCCCTCCCCCTCTGACATCACACCAAAATGGTATCTTCCACAGGAAGTGATGTGGCTGTCGCTTTAAAAAAAAACAGATTAACCTGGATTACGGGTTTGGTTGAACAGAGTGTGAACTGGGAAGTTTAACTACAAAAAAGGTTTGTGGCAAGTATGTGGAAAAATAAAGGTAATTATCATATGAATTATTATGTGTTCTGGCATTCTGTTATTTTTAGAAAAATAATAGCAAACTTTAAGGAAAACTATCAAGAGTTGAAAACTATAACAAAACACAGCAGCAACAAACTTTAGACTAAACAAAACAAAAACTCCATAAAACTTTCCTGAGGTGTACACAGATGTTAATAATGCCGGCAATGCACAGTATCAGTGACATGGGTGTATGTTTGTAAGTCCAAGTTTATAGAGTCACCAGGTTAACCTGTGACAGTCCAGTTATGAAATTTTGGTTAAAAAAAAATCAACAACATATGCATGGATAAATTGTTCACACCCAGTTCTATCATATGCATTTAGAAAGTAGATATGGTGAATTTTCATTTCATGCCAACTTTTCAATAGAAGTGGTGATTCGACCAGGTATCTATAGGAAACTCTGCCAACAGCCTTTATATACATATAGAAAGACATTATATACCTAGTGAGGTGCAAAAATCTAGCACCATTAATATTTCTATTTTGCCATAATATTTACAGCAGGAAATACCCAATTTTAAAATATGTAAAACATTATATATACACGCTACTTTTCAAAATTTGTGAAATATGTTTGCAATTTAAATTGTTTTGTATTTGAATATATGTTTTAAAATGCAATTTATCGCTGTGATCAAAGCTGAATTTTCAGCATCATTACTCCAGTCTTCAGTGTCACATGATCCTCCAGAAAGCATTCTAACATACTGACTGATGCTCACTTTTTATCAATTAATATTGGTGCTCAATTATTAGTAATTACTAAGAAGAATTATTAATCATTCTTTTTATTATCAATATTTTGAACAGCTTTTCTGCTTAATATTTTAGTGGAAACCATGATACATGATTTTAAAAGAGTAGAATTTATTTGAAACAGATTTTTTTTATTAGTAGTATAAGTGTCTTTACTGTCACTTTTTATTAATTTAAAGATTATTGCTAAATAAATACCTTTTTTGTTAAAACTAAGCCCAAACTTTTGAATGGTAGCATGTTGTGATATATCATATTGCGTGACATTTATAGACATAGGCTACTGAAAATAACAACAGATGGTTTACTTCAGATCTAATATAAAAAAAAATTAAGCAAACGTTAAAACTGCGAACCAACAACTGTTATTATGACAAAGATCGTATCCAGGCGCTCTGGGCAGGAATGATCCACAGCACAGCCGAGGAATGAGTGAGCGCACTATAACTCATGATGATGATGGTTACTGTGTGCCTACTTAATCAATCACCACGGTCTTCTGCATGGCAAACCGCTGCAAAGAAAATGAGAGGGCCAAAGCTATTTTCCGACGGCTGGTTCGTTCTTGGTGTCGTAGAAATGTGACTTTTAGGATAGACGTAGCACTTGGTAGGTGGATAATGGATATTTTATAGGCGGTCGATGAATGATTGTTTCATTGTTGGAATTTATGGAGTTTTAAAAAAAAAAAATTTAAAGCCATGTTATTTTGATAGTTGGAAAATATATCAATTTAATGAACAACTTAAAAAAGTGCTGACTTTAAATGTGTTTTTGGAATTCAAAGCTTGTCCATACTACCCACACGAAATCACTGATATAGCCTAGATGTCGTGAGAGAGAGAAGAAAAAACAACAACTGGAAAAAACTCAAAGGGTCAAGAGAGCGGAGAGAGAGAGAAAGAGCAAATCAGAAACACTCTCCATTTGTCAGTCATTTAGTACTAAGGTCGTGCATGCAGATTACTCTAAAGCTAGCTGGTATGACCGTAAAGCCAGGAAATAAAGAAAGAAAGAAAGAAAGAAAGAAAGTTAAAATGCAGTCTATTTTATTGGCTTTTTTGTGGGTTTCGCTCAAAGCTTTCAAGCACTATATCGCTCACTAGATGGCGCCACTGTCTCGGTATGTTGAGGACAGGTGTCTCATTTGACTGCCATTTGCATTCTGTGGCAGGTGTTTGCATCAAATTAGTCAGTATTTTCATCTAAACAGACTCAAGACTCTCATTCCAAACTATGATGGAAGCAGCTCCCTCTCTTGATCTGATAATTAAAATGAGCCCTGCAGATAGTTTAGGTGATATAACTGGTTAAATAGATTTAGTCATCTCAGTGGAGGGATTTCAGGGAAATAGGACATAGGACATGTCCTGTTAAACCTGTTAAACTACACGTATGGTCTTAACAGACACTTAACACATGCATGTTGTGGCCCAGTAAATGGTGTTTGCTGGGTTTATAAGACTGAGACATAGTTTTGTGAGTCTCTTTTATTTTTAAAGGAATAGTTGACCCAAAAATGAAAAATTGCTGAAAATGTATTCATTCTCAGGCCATCCAAGATGTAGATGAGTTTGTTTGTTCTTGGGAACAGGTTTGGAGAAATGTATAAATCACTTGCTCACCAACGGATCCTCTGGAGTGAATGGGTGCCGTCAGAATGAGAGTCCAAACAGCTGATAAAAACGTTACAATAATCCACAAGTAATCCACACGACCCCAGTCCATCAATTAACATCTTATGAAGTAAAAAGCTCTGTGTTTGTAAGACACAAATCCATCATTATGATGTTGTAAATAAATTTTTTTGTTTTTGGTCAAAATACCTGCCCATAATCCATAATAACACTTCCTTCAGTGGAAAAAGTCCATCCCCTGCTGTCCTCTCACACCAAAATCCACCAACATATTTGTTTAGAACTGTGTTTCGCTTGTAAACGGTGCTTGATCTGTGCATATTTATCTCCTGATTCAGACAACTTGAGATGACTTGTACACTGGAGAAAGCAATATTATGGATAGAGGACTCTATATTTTAACTGGATGCAGCGGTTTGAACGTTAAAAGCATCTTGATTGATTGATACTAACACAGCTTTTTGCTTCACAAGACAATTATTGTAATGTTTTTATTAGCTGTTTGGACTCTCAATCTGACGGCACCCATTCACGGCAGAGGATCCATTGGTGAGCAAGTGATATAAAAATGTTCCCGAATCTGTTCTGATGACAAAACAAAATCATCTATATTGGATGGCCTATGGTAAATTTTCAGCAAATTTTAATTTTTTAGTGAACTATTCATTTACGTCTGTGTGACATAGAAGAGGGTTCTGAACATAGCTAGTTTCTGTTTGGTTTTAGCTGCTCTAAGATGGCCATCATCAACAAATCTGCTGCCACTTAGTCTTACAGGTAGTTCAGCTAGGTTTTGGAACATATGCTAGTTAACCAGCTATGAACAGCTTGCACCAAATAATGACCAATTTGAAGCAACAACAGCTTTGACAGGATATAGGAGACAAGCTTAAACTTTTTAAGACCATCTTGGCCAGACTGGGAAGATCAGCTAGACTAGCCTAAATCAGTCCAGCTGTTTTAAGAGCATTGTAATTTAGATATTTTTGTAAGGACTATGATATTTTTGTAACAGGGAATCAAACTCAGACTTGATGTGATAACAGGGTTCCCATTAACCCGAGGATATATCAGGGAAATGGAATTTCCAGGGTTGAAAAATCATAGAAATTAATCAGAGATTAGGAAGTCATGGAATTTTCCCTCAGCTCTAAAATAGCCTATTTATAAAATCCCGGGACGTAGCAACCACTATATGTAAAATATGCAAAAACGTTAATTTTGCATACCCGCAGTGAAAATGGGAAAATGTAGCTATTTGCATAAAACAAGAACGATTCCACTGACTACATGTCACAAGTCAACGCCCACGTTTTGATTCAGCAAATCAGTTAAATCGGTCGAATGCAGACAACGTGATTATGATAATGCGTTCATATAGATTCAACATTTTTGTTCTAACCATTCAAATTATATCATAAAAATGTTCGAATAATGCATGAATGATGTTCAGCTATGCCAGTGGTTCTCAAACTTTTTACAGCGACGTACGTACCCCCTGGGGCATTTAACATTCTTCTGCGTACCCCCTCTCTTCCACTTAGACCGTCTATTAAAGGACATTATTTGCCCCCTTAAATTGATTTTTTTTTTACCTTATAGAGGCAAACATTTTCTGTCCTTATTAATTGTATGTTATGTTTTATGTCATATTCTTAACGTTCCATTAAGTGTATTATTAATATAATAAATAAAGCAATAAATGATGGCAAATTGAAGTGATAGCCTAGGCAACCGTCAATAGGTGGCGTCGCGGCAAGTCGCTGTCTTAATGAGCCAGGCATCGCGTCATTCATTCATTCATTCATTTATTCAGTCATTCAGTAACGAAGCAAAATGCTGTAGTTATGAATGGGTTATTGACTCTCCAAATCGTTCAAAGCCGCAGATGCACCAGATGATACGGATTTCGTTTGAACTATTATTATTTTGTTGCAAAATACAATATTCTGTTTAAAATGTAGCTAGGCTACATTTAAAATGTAAAATGTTCACTTAATATGACCTTTTGTTTTGTTGAACTGTTGTAAAAATGGTCACATTTGCCATCGTTTGGATATTCAGCGAAATCTGCATTCTTGCTCGTATTTTAAGTGAAGATCTAGGCTACTTTAAAGATACATTGAACAGCTGCGCGATTTGCTAAAGCAGCATATTCAGCGGGCATCCTATCACATGCACACTGCTTGTGTGGTCAGTTTTGACCGCAAAAGATGAGGTAATTTGATTGGATATCATGTATTTGACCGTTTACGGCACTACCACTTTCCTGTTTTTACATTAGAAGCGGCATGTTGCTTGTCAGAAATATATGTTCGGTTTTAATGTTAATGTTGGGGTAGAATTAAATGAATGCCAAAACTCAGAATTTTTTTCGCGTACCCCCTCCGTCACCTCACGTACCCCCAGGGGTAGCCTACGCGTACCCCAGTTTGAGAACCACTGAGCTATGCGATAGGCCTAGAGGCTATATGATATCACGATATAGGATATTCCTAAAATTCTTTCAAATGTACTGCTTAGTGTAAAGAGAGGCTGGTGAGATTTAGAATATTAAATACAATTTAAATAAAATCATATGGTCAAGATAGCCTATGTGGGAACGCTGATGAGTTTTACAAAGTTGGGTGCAACTGGGCAGGAAAACATCACTAAATGTAGGCCTATAGCATTAAAGAGGAATAATAATGTTCCAACATTTATTGAATTATTAACAGGAATAATCGATATTCTTCAGTCACTGAAGTGGGCAAAGCCCTGTAATGTTTGTTTGCACATGCTCAGTGAGTTTCCCGTTGACAGTCGGCAGTCACTCCTCTGGTGTCGGTGGAGCGCGGACACAGAGACGCGGGCGGGATGTCATCGCGGCTCTCCTTCTCTCAGTACCGCTTAGAGGCGGAGGTCGAGCGCTGCCGCGCGGAGTGTCAGTGGGATACAATACCGTCTTTACTGGAGCAACTCGCTGCCGCGCGCCTGCATGACGATGGTAAGTGTGCGTTCCACAATAGAACAGAATAGAGGAGAGCCAGCAGTGCTGAGTGAGAGAGAGAGTGTGTCTTGTTCCGCATGAACTTTGCACCTTTCTGTTAAACTCTCATGTTTACTAATGTGCGCTGATATCAGTAACAGAAACTCACATGTACTTTTTGAGACTACTGTTTTTGCGTTTGGATTTGATTTGCCAGTGCACTCTGAGAGAGAGAGAGAGAGAGCGAGAGAGACTGTGTATAAAGCCAGTTACTCGTGTGAATCAGAGGTGTAAATGCATGCACACACCCTGTAGTTAATACAGGTAGAAAGCAATAGTGTCATCATTTACTCACCCTCACTTTAGGCTATGCATTGAATTTGATGGTGTATTTCTCCACCATTATGTTAATGTTCTTTGACCTAAGACGCACTAACAACCTTGGTGTAGTTAACAGTTTAAATAAGAACGAGTTTCTTGGTACTTATACACTTGCACTTGAAAAAAACTAACAATTATTATTATTAACAAAAATTAACAAACTCACACTTGCCATTTAATTTTCTTTGTTATTATTATTATTATTATTATTATTATTTTGTAACTTTTTGATTCCTGTGGCATTATGGTATAGCAGAGTGCCAACCAGCTGATATACATCATACATGAACTTATTGGAAACCCTACTTTTTGCATACTGTCAGTAAGATTTATGGTTCTGAAAAAAAGGAATATTTTTATTCAGTAAGGATGCATGAAATTGACCAAAAGTGACAATAAAGACCTTTATAATGTTACAAAAGATATATGTTTCAAATAAATACTGTAAATGCTTTCTATTGATCAAAGAATCCAGAGGTTGTTTCCCCAGAAATAAATATTAAGCAGCACATTTCTTTTAAACATTGATAATAATAAGAAATGATCCTCGAGCACCAAATAAGAATGTTATAATGATTTCTGAAGGATCACGTGGCACTGAGGACAAAATTCAGCTTTGTATCACAGGAATAAATTACATTTTAAAATATATTAAAAGTAGAAAGCAATTATTTTCAAATGTAATGAGATTTCAAAATATTACTGTTTTACTGCATTTGTGATCAAATGAATGCAGCTTTGGTGAGAATAAAAGACTTATAAAATATGTATAATAAATGTAAATAAATGTTCATTTTTTTGGGATGATTTAGTATTAAAACCCAGGCCTTTCACTTTCTCATTTTCACAAAGGTAAACATGGTAAAATATAAACATGCTGCTTAAACATGTCCCGTGTTCACTGTTAAATCAACAGCAGTAATCTAGAGGTTAACACACAGCACTCCCAGGAGGTGTGTCCACCACTGTCCAAATCAGATCTCTGACCCAGCACATCTTGTTTCGCCATTGCAAATGCTCAGACATTAATTTCCCTGTGGGGAAACAAACTCAGTCAGTAAAAGGTTTTTTGAGCGATGTACCGAGTTACTTCATATTCAGTTAGGAAAGCGTCATACATAAACTTGACATATAACACAAGTCTGGATTCAGTGGGGAGTGAAAAGTTGAACCAAACAGGAAACACCTCATCCACAGTGTTTATACAAAATATGCATGAAGGCAAAGTGAATATTTTCGAAGCACCTTCTTGTCGGACTGTATATTTGAGCTGAAACAAACACACTTAACTCTCTAAACCTGGTCAGAATGCTGTTGTAGATTAATATGCAATCTAGACATGTTTATCAGCGAATGCCATTCTGTCATGATAAAGTCCACTGCTGGATGAAAAATGACGCCATGAATCACTATTTTAGACGTGATGCTGGTGAACATTTTATTCTTAAAAGAACCCAAAGATACACTACCATAATCAGCCAACATCAAGCATGTTCTAGTCTTTCTATCTTCTTCAACCTTTGCCCAGCTTCCGTCTCTGTTTGTCTGTAGATGATTACAGGACGCTGCTGCTGGCAGAAGCTCTGTTGGAGGAATGTCTGCTGGAGAACATGACCCTGCTGAAGAATTCTACGCCTCTGACTGAAGATTCGCAGCCCAAACTAGCCCGAGCCAAAGCTCACCTCAACAGCATCCTTAGCAGAGGACGCCTGGAGGTCTGGCACAGCACCTACCTGAGTCTCTGTCTTGTCAGTTAAGCATCTCTGAGAAAAAGAAGAAAGGGCTTATGGATTGCAGAAGGGATTTAGTTCAGCTTTGTGAACAACTTAAATTCCATCAGTTTTATTAAGTTAGTTAGATAACAAAATATCAAACCAATAGGTATCTGCAAACAATGGTGCAACAGTTTTTTCCCCCCCTCAAAACTTCATGTTTCTGAGCCATATTTTTTTTCTTTGTGCTTGAAAAAGTATTTATTATTTGCTTGTGTATTTATTAATACTGTATTGTTTGATATTTTATCATTTAAAGAAAAAAAAGATCAAATGTATTTTTTTGTCCTTTAGAGGGATGCAAAAACCCTGTAGTGCATGCATGTCATCTATATATTTATTCTCTATTTAAATTGTCAGTAGGGTTGCACAACATGGTTTAATGCAATTCTAAAATTCCAAAGGCTGTGATTTAATGAAATAAATATATGCGCTGTGTGTTTCAGAGCGAAGTATGGCACTGTGTTCATTTATATGTGAGCAGCTTATGATCTTCTGTTTTCAGTGTCTCAGAGCGACTCGTTTTACAGTAAATATTGCTCTACACAAACTCATCTATGTCCTTTTAATGTGCATTTGTGAAGCACCAGTTATTAAAAGAAAAGTGTTAAGGTCTCCGTTTTCTGTCAAAACAAAAATTTGGTAGTTCAACATTTAAACATTTTAAATCCTTAACTTTTTTATTTTACAGTGAAATATTACTATAGTAATATTTCTTATGTTGTTTTTATTTAGTAATATATATTTTTTTATTTAATAATAATACAAATAATAATGATATTTTATAGCCATATTTATATATAACCACACAAATTTGGCCAAATTGTGCAGCCCTACAAACAAGCACAACAATCCTGGATTTTTTTTTTTATCACATTTTTTATCGCAATCAAAATCACAATTAAATTTTTTTCCTCAAATTGTGCAGCCCTAATTGTCAGTGGTTTCTTCCCATGTAGCCGCACTACCTGAATGAAGCTCTGCTCCTGCTGGCTAAAGTGCACTATGTTCAGGGACGCTACAGGGACGCCCAGGGCATGTGTGCCAGAGCAGGTGTGGACGATTTCACCCGCCATGAGCGGCCTGTCTACCAACTACGCATGCTGGCAGAGGCCTTTGTCATTAAAGGTATGAACAGTTGAGAGATCACTAACAGCTCATTAATCCTCCCTCATTATTGTATAATTAAATTATGACAAGGCAATTAACATACTGTATACAGTAATGCGTGAGGTCTAAATATTCAGTTAATTATATAATGTGTTGTAGCTTCCTGCAACCGATTAGCATTGACACAACCTCTTTAAAAGTTTGACAATATTAATTGTGTGAAAAAATTTGAAAGTTCACTCAGGTTTCACGAGGTGTAGTGGGTCTTAATTGGAAAAAAATCACTAAATGAATGACTTTCAGTCTATTTTGCACTTAAGTTAAAAGACGATCCTTATACAGTATAGCCCTTATAATTGCTAGAGCAATTTAAATGTGTATTTATTAAGTTATTATGCAATTTTCATTGCTGCATTCCATTGAGTATTTGCCTCAGGCATGCTTTTGTTGGACTCATACCCAAGCTAAAGTGTACAGTGAAAAAAGTTCTGCATTGCAATCACAGAGAAGTCTGTGGATAGGAGTGTGTCTTTTCATTTTTTCATATCCTTGGACAGAATGTGACCACAGAAAAAAAAGGCAGTTTTACGTCATTGTCTACAGGGAAGCTTCTATATATATATATATATCTTTAGTTATCTTTAAAAAAGGGTTTTTCCAGTGCATCACTCATCCTGTATCTATCTATCTATCTATCTATCTATCTATCTATCTATCTTATAATGTTGCATTTCCTTTTCCAGATCTATTTTCTCTACTCATCAAAACCAGTTTCTCTTGCATTAGGCACTTGATGAGTGTTAATTTTGGTTGCTGTGTACAACTCTTCTCTTCAAAATTGTATAGATGGGGAACTCTTTTTAACAGTTGTGATGTGGTAAAGTTGCCCTAATTGTGTAGTTCCTCATTTTTAGTTCTCCTCTGTGTACTTCCTCGTGTAAAGATGGAACTAGTGATTTCTGGGAAAATTCAGTGTAGGTAGAAGTCTTGGTAAATCTGAGATATCAAAGCATGTCAGCCCTAGTCAGTGGTTGTTTGCTATATTCAGAAAATGGTAACACTTTATTTTAAGGTGTCCTTGTTGCACGTTACATGAACTTACTATTATAATAACAATTAATTATGCATAATTACATGCAAGTAACCCTAAGCCAAACCCTAATCCTAACCCTAACCCTATAGTAAGTACATGTAGTTAATTAATATTACTCAGTACTTAAATGCATAATTACACTGTAACAAGGACACCTTAAAATAAAGTATAACCCAGAAAATGTTTTCTAGGAGGTTCAAATATTTGTTTGTCCATGACTATTTTCTTTCTGTATCTTGCCCTGCTGAAGTACTGGATGAGACCAAGACTCAGTGTTCTAGACAGACTGAATAAATGATAAAGTCATTTGTTTGTTTGATAAACAGTTACTTGCTCTCATGTTGTTGCTCAAATTGGCACATATTGATTAAGAATTGACTGTACCAAACACAGAGATCCGTTCTCGTTCAACATGTCTTATTAAGTCTAATCAGCAGTACTGTAATTGGAGATGTAACTGCATTGCTATATTCACTTAGCATGTATTGGCTCCATGCTTAAACTATATTTCATTCTCTCTTGCACAGTTATTGCCCCAAATTACTATAAAGTGAATCTTAACCTAATTGTTCTTCATAAATGTTCAGGTTTGTCTTTGGACCATCAGTCTATGTCAGGTGCTTCCCGTGTTAGACTGTCCGAGAGAGAGGAAGAATGCCTGTCCTGTTACCTCATGGCCTGTGATGCTGGCCTGTTGTACCTGCAAGAACTTGACAAGGTCGGTGTATGTTTTACATCTTGTCAGGAGCCGGTTCACTCAGAACATGTTTTTCTGTTTAGACATGTCTCGGCGTGTCTTGCTGTGTTTTCAGCATCTTGTGCATGAGTGATTCAAATCTAAAGTGTGTGTATATATATATTATGTATTTTATAAAATTGGTATTTGTGTTCATCTGTGTTCATTTCCGGCCACCATTGCAATGTATATGTGTCCTCTTCACTAGACTGTTTGCACGCCAAGTTCCAAAACAGCTAAAAGCAGTTCATCAGTCCCTCATTTTGACTTGGACCCAGGCTTCTTCCTGCAGGCAGCTCTTCAGAGCGCATACCTGTCACTGCTGAGGAAAGGGTGAGCGCACATGTTACTGATCTCTGACTCTTTACCCACAATTCTCTGCCCTTTATATTGAGCACTCATGCAGCCATGCACACACAGTATTCACAGCACAGCTTGACTTAATCCATTTATGGACTCCATGTGAATATATGACTGGCACTGTGTAAACACATCGCTGGTATTCTTGTGTCAACATGACCAGTGTGCTGCGTGGATGCACCAGTCATGTCCAGCAGGTGTCAGTGGTTTAACACAAGTGATTTAACATGAGGTCTTGTTTTCAGTCACTCTAAAATTAGCTTTGTTTGTAATGGAGTACTGAAACACTACAACTTTAAAATGTTAGGACTGTCGATAGATTAAATTAATAGATTTAATTGTATATGTAATATAATATATCAAACAACATTTTTTTCAGTTCCAGAAAGAAAACAAAATAGCATGTAAATTGTGTTAGTTTGTATATATGATTTTGAATATGTGTGCACATATAGCCTATAATATATATGCGCAGTATACACTCTAAAAAATGCTGGGTTAAAAAGGGACAAACCCAGCTATTGGGTTGTTTTGACCCAGCAGTTGGGTTATATTTAACCCAGCATTTTTTAGAGTGTAGTCTATAAAAACACTGAACAGAGGTATATTTCCACATAGTGTTCTTTACTTGTCTCAGCTGCACTTCCCTCTTCTTCACAACAGTTCAGTTCTCTGAGACAGAAATCCGTGACTGTAAATGCTGTAAATACAGTTCTATATTTCTCAAACTGCATCAAAACACAGGTGAAATGCAAACACTAAAATTAATCAAAAATAAATTCACAATAATGAAATATAATAACATTACCCACATTTTTGGAGTCTGAATAATTACAGTCTGAATAATATCTAGTATAATGTGAATGTATTACAATTATGAGATCATAAAAAGCCATACTGTAACACCAGGGTTGCCAGGTCTGTGTAACAAAACCGGCCCAATTGGTACTCAATACTAGCCCAATCGCGTTCCAGTGGAAAATCAAAATCGCTCCAAAATGGTGTTCCAGGAGGTTAAAACCTGCACCTGCAGTCTGCAGTGAGCAGGACACTGACACACCATTCCAAACTAAAGTTTGCCATAATCCATCATCCTCATCCACCCCCTTCTGTTTCTTTTCTTAATAATTGACACACGCTCACTTGTACAGTAGTTGTGATATAATAATCATTATCAGTGTTTTATTGTCCACCTGTTAAGTCAATCAACATCTTATTTTTCAATCATTTTACTTCGCACAATCACTTCTGCCCATGTGTGTTAGTCACTTGGCTCAGGGGACACAACAGCTGCGGCGGGTCATGAGGGCTGTGGAGAGTCGGGGGTCTCAGAGTTTTCGTAAGGTGAGATCTGGGTAAATGAGATTTTTGATTTTTGCTCACAATCACACAGCAGGAGTCAGTGGTTGTTGTATATTGTGTCGTGTTGTTCAGACAGTAGCGTGCAGGCTTGCAGAAGTGTTGCTGGGCTCAGTGTGTGAGGACGCGTACTGGGGTCCACTGTCTCCTCCACCACCCGGCTGGCTGAAGAGAGAAGGAGCCACACACCCCAAAGACACCATCTACCCCTCATCCAGACCACCACAGCGCTACAACACTGAGGGGTCTGACTCTCTCTTTCCTTTCCCATTCTCTATATATTCAAACCAGTTTTTCATGTAGGAAGCAATATTTAAAGCATAATCAGAAAATAAAAGCACAACAAAACGAGTAAAGTTTGATGACAAACTTTGATGTTGGCTTGATAAATTAAAATAACTTTTAAAAGCTTGAAGTTTGAATGTTTTACTCTGATAAGTCATTAAAAGACAGTCCAATAAAAACTAATTTAGACTATTAGACTTCAGACCCCATTAGACCAGCTTGACTAGCTCAGCCAGGCTGGGAGACCACAGCTTAAGCCAGCTAAGACCAGCCAACCAGCTTAGGCTGGTTTTGGTTGTTGCTTGGCATTGTTAACATGTTTCTGGGAGTTGCTAGCATGTTCTTAATTTTTCTTAACATGCTTTAATATGTTGAGTATTGTTTACATTTTTAGCATGTTTGTAACATTTTAACACATTGTTAGCATGCTTCTAGCGTGTTTTAACATGTTATTAACACATTTTTGCACATTGCTAGTATGGTAAACATGTTGATAACATGTTGATTGCAAAATTTATCACATTTATAGCATTTTTGACATGTTTAATGTTTTATAATGTTGCTAACATGTCTCTAGTATATCTAGCACATTGCTAGCATGATTTAGTATGTTGCTACGATGTTTGAACATGTTGCTAGCACTTTAGCACATTGCCAGAATGATTAGCATGTTGCTAACATGTTTCTAACATGTTTTAGCACATTGCTAGCATGATTTAACCTGTTTGTCGGCATGTTTCTAACATGTTCTAGCAAGTTGCTAGCATGATTTAGCACATTGCTGGCATTTCTTAACATATTTCTAGCATATTTCTAACATTTTTAAACATTTTGATAGTTTACCATGTTGCTATCATGTTTTAACATGCTTCTATGTTTGTATGTTTATAGCACATTGCTAGCATGATTTAACACGTTGATAGACAGATAGATAGACAGATAATGAAAGAAATACAGGAAAACTGTAAGTCTGATCAGTCATAAAAAATGCAGCACACTGTCAGAGCATCCTGAAGAGCTGTGCCTAGCTTGGACGAGTTACTTTTAGAACTTTTGTCTCAGAAAAAGAAGAAGAAGAAAATCTTAAATAGTAGATCAGTTTGCATTGTCAAACCAACATAATAAGTGTTAATTTTAGCAGTTTAATGTGCAGTAAATCTCACTGCTCTTTAAATTTTATTGTGTACATCAGTCATAGGACTGTATTGATCGATCACTAGAATCAGAGAGCACGAACAAGAAGACAAGCAGAGGACAGCGCTGGGGTTTGTTTGCCTGCTTTAATATTCAGGACATGGCAGAATGCTGTGTTGTGAATAAAACATACTGTAACTGTACCTGTGAGTCTGCAGACGCCAAGCAGAGAAAGGAAAAATACAACAGAGATGAAAAGAGATGGAGAGACTTTTGACAATGCATCTGAAGAACAGATATGAGAACAGATGAAAGAAATATTCCAGTTTCGCATTCCTGGTACAGCTTAGTAACACACTATAATGGGACTCCAGATGGTATGGAGGGAAGTAGGATGATGAGATGAAAAACAAAAGGGGATGAGAGAAACAGAGACTGTAAATAACGATGAAATTGTTCAGAATACCATTAAGACATGTTAAAGTGACAACTGTGAGGATGGAAGTGAGTACAGAGAGCTCAGTTACAGACTGACATTAGAGACTGACACACACACACCTTGCTGACGTGTTTTTTCGTTTTCTTGTTGCAACCCTGCAGAGCTTTCTGTCCACAGGACGTGGTTGAAGAGGCGGTGCTGGTGCTCCTCATCACAGAATCAATGGTGAGACAGTCTTCCTCACATTCATACTTTCTTCCTTGACATGCTGTGTTGTGACGTCTCTTTCCTTTAGCTGCATATTGAGAACTATTGCATAATTAAATTATAGGAAATAGGAAAACCTGACATTATTCATCAAATCATCTTCATGTTGTTTCAAACCCATTTGATGTTATTTGTTCTGTGGAACACAAGAATCTTCCTCTATTCTATACTAAGTTTAAAGTGACCTCTAAATTGTCCTTTGGAGGTGGGACTGTTATTCTAGGTGGATGAACTTGGATGCCCCAGTATGCTGAATATACTGCATTTGGCATGGAAACAGTTTGACACATAAGAAATTGTCTGCTAATCATCTTATGACATACACTGCTGTTCAAAAGTTTGAGGTCAGTAAGATTTTTGTAAAGAAATTCATACTTTTATTCAGCAAGGATACATTAAATTGATCAAAGGTTAGGATTCGTTTATTTTATTTACAGACCCAGACCGTTTTACTAGAACATTTTAACATATGAATTTAGTTTGTTTGTCAGATAAAGCAACAGGCAACACAAATTAAATGACAGAAATGATTGTTTTATGAGTTAAATGAATGGGGAAAAAAAAAACTTTTTTGTATTCTTGACTCATAATACTTATGAGTGTGACAAGTGGGCTTGGATTAATTAACATGGATGTGCTGGGCAATTGAATGTTGTGTGCTTCAAATAAAGACAGGAAGCTTTTTTAGAACTAGTGCAACATTCTAAAGATGAAAGAATGCACATGACACTACAATTCAAATGTTTGCGGTCAATAAGATTTTTTTTTTAATAGAAATTCATACTTTTATTCAGCAAGGATACATTAAATTGATCAAAGGTGATAGTAAATATATTTATAATGTTACAAAAGGTTTCTATTTCAAATAAATGCTGTTCTTTTGAACTTCATATTCATCAAAGTATTCTATATGTCAGGGTTTTCTCAAAAATATTAAGCAGCACAACTGTTTTCAACATTGATAATAACTCTGAAGACTGGAGCAATGGCTGCTGATAATTTAGAAAAAATATTTTAAATATATTAAAATAGTTATTTTGAATTGTAGTAATATTTCACAAAATTACGGTTTATACTGTATTTTTGATAAATGCAGCCTTGGGAGAATAAGAGACATCTTTCAAAAACATTAATTCACAAAAACCTTGCCAACCCCAAACTTTTGTCTAGGAAGGCTGATTCCCTGATTCGAAGTTTCTTTCTGACTGTGATGTGGTGTGTGATTGTTTGTCATCAGTGTTTGGAGCGGGCCATGAAGTTCTCCTATAATGAGTTTCATCTTTGGTACCAGCTTGGCCTGTCTTTAATGGCAAGTGGGAAGGTGAGATTCATGTCCTATTGTCATCATCGCTGTTCTGTTCATTTATTAGTCATTCGTTGCTATAATTGGCTATATTTTAGATTCAATTAAATAAATATGTTCTAGTAACTGAAAGAAAGAAGATACCAAAGGTTTACTCACCCTCAAGTTGTTTCAAACCTGTATGAGTTTCTTTCTTCTGTTGAACACAAAAGAAGATATTTTGAAGAATGTTGGTAACCAAACAGTTGACGGTAGCCATTGACTTCTATAGTATGGAAAAAAAATACTATGGAATGGCTACTGTTAACAACATTCTTTCAAATATTTTCTTTTGTGTTCAACAGTAGAGAGAAACTCATACAGGTTTGAAACAACTTGATGGTGAGTAAATTATGACAAAATGTTCATTTGTGGGTGAACTATAACTAGACATGTTAAAAAAGAGGGTTAAAGGGATACCCAAAAATGAAAATTCTCTCATCATTTACTCACCCTCATGTCATCACAGATCTGTTGCTACAGTAATCCATACAACTCCAGTGGATGAATAAAAATCTTCTGAAGCAAAACAATAGATGTGTGCAAGAAAAATACTCTTATTTTAAACATTTTTAACTATAAATTATTGCTGCACCAAATTATTACTTTTTTTTTACTGAAACACATTAAAGTTTTCAATTAGCCTGAAAACAAAAATAAAGCTGCAGTAATTAAATTTGGTTAACTGGGTTTTTATGCTGTTCGAGGTGTTGTATTCTCAGGTGATATAACCCAGTGGTTCCCAACCCTGGTCCTGGAGGCACCCCAACACTGCTCATTTTGCATGTCTCCTTTCTCTGACACACCAATTTCAGGTCTTGGAGTCTCTACTAATGAGCTGATGACCTGAATCAGGTGTGTTTGATTAAGGAGACATGCAAAACGTGCAGTGTTCGGGTGCCTCCAGGACTTTTTTTGCGCAGGAAGTGGCACGGAAGCGCAGAAGACTGTCACTTCTCATGTGAGCTTCACAATACGCTTACATTGTGCTTCATGACATGCTTATAGTACATTTATGTCAAATGTTGCATTCTCAACACTTACATGAATGTGTTTACAACATTTCACCAAAAGCAATGGTTGATAGTAAAAAAAAAAAAATTGTATGTACTATACAGTATATAGCATAGTATGTTTCTTAAATGCACCTGTCATTGTGTGACATCGATTCATCCGCTGGGGTTGTATGGATTACAGCCATGATGACTGTATCTGCTTTTTAGAGTGTCAACATTCTGGTACCTGTCACTTTGTGATCACAGAGATGGGTTATTTTTCTAAAACTCTTCATTTGTGTTAATAAGAAAGAAAAAGCTATATACATCTGGGAGGACATGAGGGTAAATAAATTTGAATAATAAAAAAAAGGGTGCACTATCCCTTTAGAACTATGTGAAACAATGGAGAAGGATATAACTGCAGCCCGGAGATCTCCAAATGGGGGCGGGAACTCCAAATGGGGGCGGGAACTCCAAAATAGGGCGTGGCTTCCTCCTATTGACAGACAGGCACATGACACGCATGCGCAATTTTTCCCCCCAATCCACTTCAGTGCAAACTCCGCCCCACAGCTGATTCTAAAGATTTTATTGGTTGTGTCAATTAAAGTGTTGATTTCCTACATTATGCTACAAAAAATGCTAACCCCTAAACCTACCCCACACCTGACCCTAACCTTAACCAGTGAAATTGACTGCACGGCGGGATTGGCGCTGAATAGCGTGGTAAAGAAAGATGCAGTTCAGGAGATAAACAGTTAATAAGATTATGCGATATGAGATTGTTCCGTAACTCCCCAACCGGACCTCACCGGACAAAGGCACACCCAGCGTCACTACCCCCTCCCACCCTGCGAATTTCGAGCCCCGGGACGCCCCCGCTGCTTAGAACAAAGCAATAGAGTGAAATCTTTCCCCTGCGCTGCGCTGGGACGGCTGGCGGGAGAGCTCGTGGGTGATTCCCGTTTACATCATGAAGCAGATGTTCAAACTCCAGTCTGAACACCACTGGCCACAAGCTTTGGGCTCTGCTCTCACGGAGAATATTTACTTATATAGCATATTTTATTTTAGATGAACTAGAAACAATGTTAAATTTATAAAGTTTTATTTTGAAATGTAAGTCAATAACAATTGGCTGAAGCCAGAGCCAATGGTGAAAGTCTTTGCGGGAGGAGACCCCGCCCCATTTTGGAGGTTCTGCCCACTTTTGGAGTTCACGCCCCATTTTGTAGATCTCCGGTCTGCAGTTATATCTACTTGAAACAATGCGGTGCTTGAAAGTTAGAGCCAGTTGTGTAGTAACAGACCACCAATCATAAACTGACTCATTGTCTGTCTCATTGAATATTCATGAGCTTTGTACAGATGCAGGAGCAAATCCCATTCTACATTTTTCTTCCAAGTGTTTTGTCGTTGTTTTTTATTATGTTTCAGAAGTCTTACGATAACCTGAACAATTACATGAGCTTTGTACAGATGCAGGAGCAAATCCCATTCTACATTTTCCTTCCAAGTGTTTTGTCGTTGTTTTTTATTATGTTTCAGAAGTCTTACGATAACCTGAACAATTATTGATGACATCTCCACACATAGACAAGCAGTTATTAAAACAGGCCGTGCTCTTATTGTGTAATCTATTTGTCCAGTCAAAGTTATTAACCTCATGAATATGCACATGAGAATGCTCATTCAGGGCTTACGGATGTACTGAGTGATAATCCAAAATGACCCTGGCTTAATGATTTTTATGAGTAAAGGTTCATGCTTCTTCCGTTGTGTGTACATGAATGCAGAACACTTACATAAAGAAATATCAAAATATCACCGTCACTATCTAGGGTAGGGTTTGTGTCACTGCTACATTTTGAAATACTATACTTTCTTACATATATGTGTATATATATTTGAAAGCTGTAATATTAATGTTATTTTACAGAATGAGGGTGCAGTGTCAGTGCTTAAAGAGTGTGTGACAATGAGACCACAGGACCCCATCCCACCTCTGCTTGCAGCAAAAGTGTCCATCAACCAGCTGCACTGGGTGAGAGAAACACAAAAACCACATGTGCACAATATACAGAATCATTCAGCAAATCTAAAACAAAAGCAAAAAAAGTGCTGTGCAAAAAGTTTTGTTTTATAGAACAGTTAAAATCAGTTAAAGCTCCAGTTAAAGCTGAAAGAGTTCCAGCTTCTAAACGTACACAAGATTAAAATAAATAAATTAATTAATACTTTATTCAGCAAGGATGCATTACATTGATCCAAAGTGACATTAAATACATTTATAATGTTACAAAATACTAAGTTTAAATAAATGCTGTTCTTTTGAAATTTCTATTCAACAAAAAATGCTAATATATATATATATATATATATAATTTTCCATAAAAATATTAAATAGCACAACTTTTTTGAACATTGTAAGAAATGTGAGATTAAAATCAGCATATTAGAATGATTTCTGAAGGATCATGTGACACTGAAGACTGGAGTAATAATGCTGGAAATACAGCGTTGCATCATAGGAATAAATTACATTTTAAAATAATTAAACATTGTTCATGAAAATTTTAATATTTCACAATATAGCTGTTTTTACTGTATTTCTGGTGAGCATATGAGACTTCTTTCCAAAACATTAAAAATCTTACTGACCCAAACTTTTGAACCGTAGTGTACATCCTAGCAAAAGGAATGCATATGTTTTAGGCTATGAATGAAATAAGCAATGTGCATTTCAGGAAAATTCATTGAAAATATTCATTTTGGCATCCATAAATCCTTAAATCCTAATCCCATAAATCCTATATAATCCTACTATGTTTATAATAAAACTAGCTATGTTCATAGCATTATTAATTTAGAAATGACCAGATGAAACTAGAACTGTACAAGAAACATTATATCTGTATTTTTCAGTCTTTTTAAAATGCTCTTTGTTCAGTACATATCGCTCAGTCCTAGAAGAGCTCTAGATTCAAATCGCTAATAGGTGATCTCTGTTTTACATTAGTTACATGCCCATACTAGTTATACCAATAAGACACAATGCAATGTCACAACACTACCAATCAAATACACCCTGCAGCACTGTTGACAGAGATTACGGCACATCTGTTGGAAGTGCAGTGCTGAATACAGACAGCACACCATAAGAGGCTTATAGCACAATATCTGGCTTTAATGCCAGATAGCCATCCCACAGTCACACTTCAGACCGGCCTTTTATCATCACAGCATCACAACAGGGTAGGGGATTTGTCCTCAAGCATTTGTCCTTGATGCTGATTCATGTCAGCATGTATAGCATTTAAATTAAGGAATATCATACAACATTTAGTCATGATTACATGATTACATTCAAAATGAGTTGTTACAATTTTGCATTATATGCTTAGGCAGTTGATATGACCTAAACTGTTTTTTTTTTTAAATTATTTTATTTTTATACACTACCGGTCAACAGTTTGGAATAAATATGATTTTTAATATTTTTGAAAGAAATTTATTTTGTGTACCCAGGCTTTGTTTATTTGGTCAAAAATAAAGTAAAAACAGTAAAATTGTGAAATGTTATTAAAATGTAATATGACTGTTTTCAAGTTGCAATTTATTCTTGTGATGCATTCCTATGAATAATGGTTCTTATTATTATCAATGTTGAAAACAATTGTTGGTGCTTAATATTTTTTTGTGGAAACTGTTTGAGCACCAACAACTTTGGTCTTTTTTTATAATGATTTTATAATGATTTCTGAAGGATCATGTGACACTGGAGACTGGAGTAATGATGCTGAAAATTCAGCTTTGCATCACAGGAATAAATTACATTTAAAATATTTTAAAATAAAAAAAGTTATTTTAAATTCTAATAATATTTCACAATTTTAGTGTTTTACTGTATTTTTGATCAAATGAATGCAGCCTCTGCGAGCATAGTAGACTGCTTTCAAAAACATTACATTTATCTTGTTTTCATATTCTTGCAGTTTTTATGACCTTATGTTAATTGAGCGACATTTTTAAAATCTGAAATATTTTATTTAGCTTATGCTTGTTTCCAAAGTATAGTTTATGGTCACCGATGATACATTTAGGAACATTCCTTGTTGGGTTTGAACCCGTAACCTTGAAGTTTTCAGGGCATAGCTTTAACCGCAACACTACTCCACCAGTATATCTCACTGTAAGTTGAGAGGCACTGATATAAATCATCCAAACATCTAATGCATGTGTAAATGTGTTTGTGTCAGCTGGAGGATGCAGTGTCCCTCTCAGCAGGTGTGGTTGCTTTAGGAGAGTCTGCTGGGGAGTCTCTTCCTCGAGCTCATCTGGCCATCGGACTGTGCCGTAGTCTGCAGGCCTCTGACGGTAAGCCCGGCCTTTAACCGTGATTATCCTTCTCTGAACCTAAAAAATGATATAGGCCCCCAGCTTTCTTTAGCTGCTCTCTGCTCCCTCATGTCTGCAGTGACTCTTTCACTGTATGTTTGCAGCTCCGCTGAAAGCTGATCGCGATGAGTTCAACAGAAGAGCGCTGCAGTCACTACGGAAGTACGCTTGATGTTTACCTGTGTACTTAACACAGATTGTGTTAAGGAGGCTTCAGCCACCCACTCTGTGTGGGAATTGTTTCAGTTTATACTATGACTTTTATTGATATTAAAACTAGCTGCTAATTTTTTTCCTAAAAAGCCACAGTTAGTTTGGGGTCTGTAAGATTTGTCTAACGATTTTGAAAGAAGCCTTGTATGTTCACCAAGGCTGCATTTATTTGATTAAAAAACTGTAAAAACAGTATAATATTATTACAATTTAAAAGAACTGTTTTCTATTATAATATATTTTAACATGCAATTTATTCCTGTGATCAAAGCAGATTTTTCAGCATCATTACTCCAGAATTCAATGTCACATGATCCTTCAGAAATCATTCTGATATGCTGATTTGCGGCTCAAGACACATTTCTTATTATCAGTGTTGAAAACAGTTGTGCTGTTTAATATTTGGATACCACAATACATTCAGGATTCTTTGATTAATAGAAAGTTCAAAAGAACAGCATTTATTTGAAATAGAAATATGCAACAACGTAAAAGACATTACAGTTCAATTTAATGCAGTCTTGCCAAATAAAAATCAATTTCTGTAAAAATATCGTAATGACCCCAAACTTTTGCACATTAGTGTATCTATATGCAATTCTTTTCTTTCTTTCAAAAACTAGTGCTGTCAACAGGAAAACAATATAATCACAAATAACCTCATGATTATTGATCAGTCTGAAACTGGTGATACATAAATTTTCTGAATGTCAACATAAAAATAATATTTACAATAAGCATATTTTATTAATATTAACATCTCACAGATATTTTGGTTGTAGTTAATGTGTTATGGAAACTTGATTCTGAATCAAATCAGTTCATTTAAACTAATGCTAATGCTTTCAAATTAAATTGTTTTTAATCACATTACTATGCAGTTTAACAATTTCTTTAAAGAAATGCAGTGTCACAATTAATTCCAGCATGTACACTTAGTGAAGAGTCAGTCGTGAGATGACTGGCAGAGGTCAGCCTGGAAACAAGGTGATGAAAACTTCACAAAGACTTGTTTTTTTACTTCAGAGCACATGCACTGGACCCTGAGGACCCTCAGATCTCCTTCTACCTCTCTTTGCAGCTCGCTCTGGTCCGACAGGTTAGCACATTAACACATCAATCTCACTGACTAGATGCAGAATCGTGTCAGGATATCAGATTTCTGTTCTTCATATCTTCCAAGAAAAGAAATTTACATTAATCTCTCTTCTTATTTTGCATGACTGTGGATTTTTGTAGCTTTTGTTTACACGTATGACGGTCAGGGTCATATTATTGTGTGAATACTGTAGTTCTTTATCTCATCATATTCCTATCTATTGTATGTGACCTCTTGTGTTTGTGGTAGGTGTCAGAAGCGATGGAGCCGTTGCAGTTGGCTCTGAATATTCGTGGGGATGATCTGCACTCTCTACACCTGCTGACTCTACTGCTCAGTGCCCAGAAACACTACCAACACGCCCTTGATACACTTAAACTCGCCATTATCCAGCACCCGGACAACTTTAAGTATGCTTTATGTGTTTGTTCTACTTCAAAAAGGATAGTTCAACCAAAAATTAAAATTCTGTCATAATTTACTGAACTTCATGTCATTAGACATCAGTGGCGGCTCGTGGGTTTTAAAATAGAGGAGGCACACTAATTTAGGGGTTGAACGACTTCTGATTTTTTTAAGTCAACTTTTATGTGATGAAAGTCGAGTCGAAGTAGACTAGTCGCTGATGACGTCTTTAATGAACAAATGAGTCTGGAGCTGTGACAAAGTGTATGTACACAGTGTACCTTGTACCTTGTACCTTGTACACAGCTATGGCATATGACGCAGCGCTGGCCACATGGCTATTGCTCCTATAACAGCTTTTTTATCAGTTGAGAGTATGCATTTATTTGTCATTTGAACTGTCTGGAAACGGAGTGTAAATGTGGAAGTCCTTCAAAGATTTCTTATCCTTTTGCGCCTTCTATAGGACCAGTGACTAGTCGACGTCAAGCTTAAAGTGTCATGGCAGAGCATTGAAGTCTACTAGTCGATTAGTCGGTGCAACCCCTAGTTAGGGCTAGTAGAATAAGTTGACATGTACTTGTAAAGTTACATGTCTGTTGAGGGACCATTAAAATAAAGTGGTATCCATTCTAAACCCGAGTTTCATCATTCACAAAAACACAAAAAGAAGGTATTTTAAAGAATGTTGGGAACCAAACAGTTTTGGCTACCATTGACATCCACTGTATGGACAAAAATGCTGAGACATTTCTCAAAATATCTTCTTTCATGTTCCACAGAAAAAAATCATTTTTGGGTGAACTACACCTTGAAGTCCCATTGTCTGAATGTCAAGTCAAATAACTTTAAATATTGAAATAGTGCTTTATCTCAATTTGTTCCAAACCTGCATAAATTTCTTTCTTCTGCTGAACACAATAGAAGATATTTTGTAGAATGTTGGTAACCAAACAGTTACTGGTAGCCATTGACTTCCAGTAGTATTTTTACCTACTATGGAAGTCAGTGGCAACCAGCAACTTGAACATTCTTCAAAATATCTTCTTTTATGTTCCACACTAGAAAGAAACTTGTACAGGTTTGGAACAACTTAAGGGTGAGCAAATGATGACAGAATTTTCATTTTTAGGCGATCTATCCCTCTAACTGCATTAAAAAACTGTACAGGTTTGGAACAACTTAAGGGTGAGCAAATGATGACAGAATTTTCATTTTTGGGCGATCTATCCCTCTAACTGCATTAAAAAAACAAAATATCAAACCTAGTGGCATCTGAATGCAACTTCAGGACTGCATCTTTTTTTTTAATCAGCTGTTGTTGCAGTGATTTTAGATTTTAATGCAGTGAGTAGTTTCATCTAATCTGACATAATTTTAACATTTAAGTGTAAATGTTAATTTCATGTGGACTCTTAGAGAGTTCTAGTGCTTTTAAGTGATCTGTCCATCTCTTTCCTAATGAGGAAATGTTCCCTTGCCTTCACCTGCACCTGATCTCCAGTTGCTCCCTGACCTCCAGTCCAGTTCTCCTGGCCCAGTGTTGTTATTATTAACTAGAATTAAAACAAATAAAAATGGTTCTTGTTATTTGAAATAAAGCTGAAATAAAATAGAATATAAACATTAGATGAGACATTTAGAAAAATTAAACAAAAAAGTGTTTATACTGAAAGAAAATAAGGTGAAGTACAAAAATTACTAAAAAGAAATACAAATAAATTAAATTAAATACACAAATATAAAAAAAAAAGATAAAAATGACAAAAGCACATAAAATTACTAAAATTAAAAATATAATTCAAAATATTAATAAATACTATAAAAGTGTATTAATAATACTAAAATAACAATGTCACTGTCCTGTATTGGGTATTGGCCATTATGTCTGTACACCAATTTTAGCTTTAGTCCTCCTAGGCTAATCTGGAGTGTATCCCAGTGAATTCAGATTTATATATGCACTTCACCACCACGCTACAATAACCCGTCGCAGCAGGATGATCTGTCAGTCTCTCTGGATCTCTTTCTCACTTGAGTGAATGTTCTGCTGCCCTGTTTACACACACACTCTTAATTGCACACACCCACACACACACACACCTTCACATTCATCTCGCTTCACCCCTCCGCCCTTCAGCACACACAGACGTCCACCCACTCACAGTTCAGGGGAAGAATGTCCCCAGACAGCTGCAGAATTGCTAGATTCTGTTAGAAGCAGCTGAAGCATTGGGCACTGATGATGGAGAACTAGGGTTGATAGTGATAGTAGTGTGACCCAAGAAGTTCTGTAATACCCACAGAAAACTATCAGTTAGCATTATCTCAGTGGCAGTTGCTCGTGATCTGGATGCTGCTGTCTTTGCTTCATGGGTGCTCAGTTCAGGAAATGTTTATTGATAGTGACTGAGGTGTAACTGTCTTTAGGACTATGTGATATTTCAGTTTTTCTTTTTTAATATATCTGCAAAAATGTCAACAATTCTGTGTTTTTCTGTCAATATGGGGTGCTGTGTGTACATTAATGAGGAAAAAAAATTAACTTAAATGATTTTAGCAAATGGCTGCAATATAACAAAGAGTGAAAAATTTAAGGGGGTCTGAATACTTTCCGTACCCACTGTATATATTTCTAATTCTAATTATTAATTCATGTAATCATGAATCATGTAAGAAGTAAAACATAACATACATTGTATATAACATACAACATTTTTAAACTGCAAAATGTACAATTTACTCTCTTATTGCAAGTCTAAAATCTTTAATCAAATTATAATATCACATTCCACCTCTAAAATGAGAATTTTTCCAACTCTCTAGCTCCATTCTAGCCCTCAATTCCTTGATTTTTCTTGAGTACATAAGTGAAATGACTTTAACTTAACATCATCTGCACAATCTTCTGAATAGTTGATATATTGCCCAGCCCTAATATGTTTAATCTAAAATATATTATATATACGCCACCATTCAGAACACTGGGAACAGTAAATTTTTTAAAAATGTTTTTGAATAGTCTCTAATGCTTATCAAGACTGCATTTATTTGATTAAAAATACAGTAAAATTGAAAAATATTATTACAATAATTTTTAATGTTTAATTAATGAAATGAATATGTTTTAAAATGTAATTTATTCCTGTGATGGTAAAGCTGAATTTTCAGCATCATTACTCCAGTCTTCAGTGTCACATGATCCTTCAGAAATCTTTATAATATACTGCTCAAGAAACATTTCTAATTATTATCAATGTTGAAAACAATTGTGCTGCTTAATATTTTTAGAAAGTTCAAAAAATATATATAATCCTGTATTATCGGGTTTGATAAACAATTTTGATAAATGATTTTGTGGGATCCAGGACTTTCTCATTCTGTCTCTTTTTTGGTGCATTTTGCACTATAGTTTATTCCTTGTTATTGTGTGTGTTTTAGCCTTCTGTTTACCAAAGTGAAGCTGGAGGAGGTTTTGTTCGGACCCGCTGCAGCTTTACAGACCTGTACAGAAATGCTGCAGTGGTGGCAGAGTCGCTATGATTTTACCCGTCTCAGGTAATGTGCTGCATGTGTGAGTGAGTGAGTGCCTCAGGTGTGTCTGTGTTGTATGTTGTGATTTCATGCATTCTGCTCTCTGTTCCAGTGAGGAGGATGACACTAGCAGCATACCTCCTGATCCAGGCCCGCTGAGCAGGAAACCCAGCGGCCTCCATCTCACGCTCCCAGACTTCCAGGAGACAGAGACCGGTGTGTATCATGAGTGTGTGTGATTGCGTGTGTTTATGTGACTGAGACGTGTGTCATGTTGTATCAGGGTCTCAGAGTGCCCCGTCTCTAGCTGTGTCCCGTCTGGAGCAGGCCATGTCAGAGGTGTCGGCGCTCAGCTCCGCCCACAGGCACGGCCCCGCCTACATTTGGACCACCCTGGAACGCATCTGGCTGCAAGCAGGTATGTCGTAAGTGTAGTAGTTACACTTCCTTTTGTAATATATCATTACCTATTATTTCTGTAACTTTTATTAACGTTAACCAGAAATAAATGACAGGTTTAAAATATTTTTGTAATATTTTAGAAGGGCATAAATAGCTGTTTGCTGACATTATTTTCCTGTAAGACGTGCTCAAACGTTTTTTTTTTTTACTTGAGGTCAGTCATTATTTAATGTTGACCTTAATACATTTGGGAAGTCCTTGACGTATTATGACATTATTTGGTTATGTTATTTTTGTGTTATTTATATGCTGCTCTGCATGAATTGCGTTTCCCAGGGATCTTACACTGGGTGTTTGTGCCCTCTTGTTCCATTCCCAGCATTCCTCTGGCATGGGTTCATTTCCTGTCTAAAATGGGACACATCCTGATTCTGTACAAATGAGGGAATGTGAGAGCACTAGCAGAGCGGCCCATTGACATAAAGAATGGGCGTGATGTCATACTAATGGTTCAAAATGAACGCAGTCCATCATGCAGCAAACATCAGCGGCCATTTGTAATGTGTCAGTGTTGTTATGTGCTATGTGTCAAAATTGCATAATATTAAATATTTTAATATGCATTA